CTGCTGGTGAATCATAAACTGCAGCGAAGTGCTCAGTTGTTGTTGGACTCTCTTAGTCCTCACGTCCCAATCTCACTGTTTTCTATGGCACACCGAGATGAAGGAGTTTGCCAGAAATGCCACTCCAGCTTCAGGAAGGAAGCTGAAGTTACTTGGAGTGTTTGGCTGGAAATAAGGAGCACTAACTGTGGTTTTTACATTTCTTTGGTGAACTGCTACTGTAATGTATGTTATAGCAAACATTTTGTAGCATATACCTGAAATAGTTTCTAAAAATACCTTTTGTACATTTTTAATTGCACTATTTGATTCAACTTAAAAGTAAGTAACAAACTGAGAAGTGGAAAAGCAGTGTCTGATAATTGTGGCTGTGAGCAACCTGTGACTGATGTTCGGGCTAATAATTGTACATGGTCCAATTAAACTTCAGGTTTAAACATAGTGGATTTTTTACCTCTGAACTTTTCCTGTCCCTGTCTGACAACAGTTCCTGCCATCAGCAGAGAGGGGGACACCTTTGTGAGCACATCCATAGAGCAGGCCATCCGTAATGTGGACAGTGCTATCGAGTCCACAAGGAGACGCCTTTTTGACGGGTAAGACATGAGAAGCTCGCACAACAGTCAGACACAGGTCTTTTGTAAAATATCCTAAAAACTTGTGTTTATAACCTGACATTGGGGTTTTAATCACAAATACACAGAGGCTAACAGTCATACTGTCATGTTGTTTGTGGAGCAGCTTTGTTTTCAAAAATATAGCGTAGTTTCCCCAAAAACACTGTTGCCCAAGACACTGGAGATAATATATCTTGAAGTCTTTGTCTATCTAGGGAAGTTTGCACTTCGGTAGGTGGTTTCAGTAGCACACATAAGTGTTTCCCTCCTGTTGTTTGATGTGGTTAGCAGTTGCGTTTTTCTTGGCATGCACTAGGGGTTGCACAGATTAGTTGACTTCACTACATAGAGCCATTTGTATTAATGTGGCATCGACTAGTCGCTGACTGTGGTTTTCACTACCTGCAGCCTTACCTGGCGTAGCAAAGGCCATGTTGATTCTGCACAGCAAGTGGTTACTTTTTGCCACTTAACAGCGACAACCTGCACCAAAACTCCTTGAAAATCTGGGTGCAAATGCCAATAAGCTCCAAACCGACTGCCCAGTCAGGTGGAGGTCCAAGTGTATTTTGACCTGATCTTCTCCTCGTTCTGGTGCAGCAAGCAACAATTTGCTCACTACTGCCAACTGGTGGTTGTGGGGAGATACTCAGTTCAGCTGGTCCAGTAACACCAAGAACCCAGTAAAGCTGGTGTTTTGATGACATCACCAGTGACTAGTTGACCTCGACTTGGCTTTCATAACAAAAATGGCAACTCTAAAAACACTGGAAGTTATGCAACCCCTAGCAGCTACACACACAAACTTCATGGCCAAACACATACAGGTATAGACATGTGAGAAGAGAAATGCACACACAAACACAGAGTGGTGATAAGGGGATTTGGTTCTCTCTTTCACAACAATCACAGAATGAGACATAGAATCCTCTTTGGCTGATGGCACCTGTGTCTTTGAACATCACTAGGAAATAATGAAAAACCAACGAGCCGTCGGAGAACAAGAGCATATCAGGAGAAAAGCTAGTTGCACTTGTTACTCTGATCATAAAGCAATCTGCTGGTGTTGCTTGGACACTTAGACCCTGAATGTTGTTTGCTGATAACAGCAGCTGTTCATTACTGAAATAAAGTGCATCTGTATAGGCAGCTTTTTTTACATGATCAAAATTAAATGCAATTAAAGCTGCAATTTTTCCTATCTAAAGTACAATATTTCTCACAGCTTCACACCAGTGTTACTGTTGTCAGCCATAGAAGGAAGAAAAATGTGATTAACCACAAAAAGAACGTATGTATAACCCATCCACCCCCCACCCCCACCCCCAAATGAGTTGCTCATGTACAGAATAATAAGCCCACAATAATTATATTTATTATAATTTCATTATAGAATGCATATTCATGTCATTTAAAGTTTACATGCTGTACAGCCCCAAATCAGAAAAAGTTAGGACAGTATGTAGAATCTAAATCAAAACTGAAAATAGTGATGTGTAAATCATCTGTGTCCTGTATGACATTGAAAACAACACAGCAGCACATTATTGGATGTGACACCTCATCAGTTTTATTCTTTGTTCAAAATAAACACATTCCAAATAAAGTTGGATGGTCGCATTTCAGGGCCAGTAATGAGGTAAAACAGTGAAATGATGATTCCATATGAAACAGATGATGCCAACAGGCGACTGCATCATGATCTGGTACAAACATGGCATCCAGGAAAGGCCGAGCCCTTTAGGAGCAAAGATGGGCCGAGGACCACCAGTTTGCCAACATATGTGTGAGAAAATTATTGAAATGTTTAAAAACAATGTTCCTCAATGAAAGATTGGAAGGGATTTGGATATGTCACCTTCTACGGTTCAGAACATCGTTAAAAGATTTAAGGAATCTGGAGGGATTTCAGTACAAGGGCCAAGCCTAAGCTGGATGACCAAGCTCTCTGATCCCTCAGACGTCACTGCATCAAGAATCATCTCTCTTATATAAGTGATATAACCACATGGGCTCAGGATGACTTTGGCACATCTGTGTCAGACACTACAATACGTAGTTACATCCATAAATGCTGCTTAAAACTGTACTGTGCCAAAAGGAAGCCCTATGTCAACAGTGTCCAGAAGTCAACTGCTCTGGGCTCAGAGGCATCTGGGATGGACCATCACACAGTGGAAACGTGCACTGTGGTCAGACCAATCAGTATTTCTGGGCTTTTTGGACGGAATGGACGCCATGTGCTCTGGACTAACGTAGAAAAGGACCACCCGGTGTTGGACTGGCCTGCCTGCAGTCCCGACCTGTCCCCAGTAGAGAAGCTGTGGTGTATTTTGAAACAAACTGCGTCAACAACAACCCAGGACTGTTGTGCACCTTAAGACTTGTTTACAGGAGGAATGGGACAAAATGACTCCTGACACATTGAATCACTTGGTGTCCTCAGTCCCTAAACATCTGTGTTTTGAAAGAAATGGCAACATCACACCGTGGTAAACGCTTTACTGTCCCAACTTTATTTGAAATGTGTTGCATTAGAATTGAAGTGAGTGTTTATTTTGAACAAAGAATAAAACTGATGAGGTGTCACATCAAACAAAATGTTATCTCAGTTAACATTTTTGCAGTTCTGGTTTCCTCACTCTGCAGTCAGTGGGGTTTTTTAATGTGTTTTTGGGTACATGCCTAGACTTGACACAAGTGGCTGAATGAGACTACAGAAACTGTCAGGTATATCATCATTCCAAATATTGAGGCTCATCTACTCCCTGGTCCACCCTGCCTGCTTTTCCTGCCCTTGACAAAGAAAACGTCCACCCAATATCATTTTAACATGTGATTGCTTTCTTTTTCTTAGTTTTGTCATCCCTTCTCCACTCTCACATACAGACATGGACAAAATTGTTGGTACCCTTCCATTAAAGAAAGAGAAACTCACAACGGCCACTGAAATAATGTGAAACTGACAAAAGTAATAATAAATAAAAAATTGCTGAAAATTAACTAATGAAAATCAGACATTGCTTTTGCAACTTGCTCAGCAGAATGTAAAAACTTTGCAATATTTCTTTTTGTTCTCCTTTCATTTCCTGTGTCTTTACTCGAGGTTTTTATGCACAGACTGAACATGCTACTAAAAACAAATGGGTGGAAACACAGCCAAATACGATCCAGGGAGACCTGTGTAACACATCCATTAGCTCTGAAGCTCTATGAGGTGCCAAAAAAACTATACAGTGGTTTATAATGCCATGAAGATAAATTTATAGATAATCATTTTAAAGTTATCTCCCAGGAATGTGCATTAAACCATATTTGATTGGCCAACATATATAGTTCTTAAGACAGCCTTATTGGTGTGTGCAGTAAAAAAAAAATAAATAAATAAATTGTTGGTACCTTTCCGCTAAAGAAAGAGAAACTCACAATAGTCGCTGAAATAATGTGAAACTGACAAAAGTAATAATAAATAAAATTTTTCTGAAAATTAACTAATGAAAATCAGACATAGCTTTTGAATTGTGGTTCAACAGAAGCATTTTAAAAAACAAACTAATGAAACTGGCCTGGACAAAAATGAAGGTACCCTTAACATAATATTTTGTTTTACAACCTTTTGAGGCAATCACTGCAATCAAGCGATTTCTGTAACTCCCAATGAGACTTCTGCACCTGTTAACAGGTATTCTGGCCCGATCCTCGTAAGCAAACTGCTCCAACTGTCTCAGATTTGAAGGGTGCCTTCTCCAGACTGTGTGTTTCAGCTCTTTCCACAGATGTTCAATAGGATTTAGATCAGGACTCATAGAAGGCCACTTCAGAACAGTCCAATGTTTTCTTCTTAGCCATTCTTGGGTGTTTTTAGCTGTGTGTTTTGGGTCATTATCCTGTTGAAGGGCCCATGACCTGCAACTGAGACCAAGCTTTGTGACACTGGGTAGCACATTTCACTCCAGAATGCCTTGCTAGTCTTGAGATTTCATTGTACCCTGCACAGATTCAAGACACCCTGTGCCAGATACAGCAAAGCAGCCCCAGAACATAACTGAGCCTAGTCCATGTTTCACAGTAGGTAGTGTTATTTTCTTTGTATGCTTCATTTTTGTGTCTGTGAACATAGAGCTGATTTGCCAAACAGTTCCAGTTTTGTCTCATCTGTCCAAAGGACATTCTCTCAGAAGCTTTGTGGCTGGTCAATATGCATTTTGGCAAATTCCATTTTTGCTTTTTTATGATTTGCTTTCAACAGTGGAGTCCTCCTCAGTCGTCTTCCATGAGGTCCACTGTGGCTCAGACAGTGACGGATGGTGCGATCTGACACTGATGTACCTTGACCTTGGAGTTCACTATCTTTGGATGTTGTTCTGGGCTCTTTGGTTACCATTCACATTATCCGTCTCTTCAATTTGTCATCAATTTTCCTCTTGCGGCCGCGTCCAG